GCCAGTCCACTATTCTACCAGGGCCACCAAACCTGGGATTAGCCAGACTCCTGTGAACATGCAGATCAGGTCTCCACTCCTTCCTGCTTACCGACTTCAGGAAGGTTCTATGGTCAGGAGGAGGTGAAAGAGCCACAGCCTGTTGAGTCATCCAGCTGACCTGCAATAACCTGACCTCATACACAGACTCACAAAACTACCTTGAGTCATAACAATGATTTTACCTACAATTCACTACACTATTCTAGTAGCACACTAGAGGTTGCTACACCTCCATGTGTTGAACTGAAGGTTGAATGTAAAAATCAATGTACTGGCTTAGGCTGTAATCTTTGATTATTGCTTGGGCATCTCTGCTCAGGCTGTTGGTGTCCTGTAGGATGGATACTTTTGAAACAGTGAGAGTGCTGGCTGGGGATGGGTTCATCCAGACCCAGAGCATTCAAGCAAAATAAGGAGAGGTTCCCCTACTGCCGCACACCTCACAGCCATGTAGTATACAGGCAAAAGCAGCCTCACCTCAGTTCGTCAAGACTAGTGTCAAATTTACTAAGGTTCTTTTTTGGAGCATATTTTAAACCTTTTTCTATTGGAACCTTTATCTTTTTAAATTTCTTCCTGGCTATTCTCTCCTCTCCCATTTTGGGGATGCCCCTTCTTAAAAAATAGAGAAACCCAGGAGCTGGCCTCTCTTCATAATTTTCCCTCAGATTCCTAAAAGGAAAATATCTATTATACCGGACTATTTGAATTTTCATGTGCCATACCACCATTTCTCCCACTTTAATATGCTTATTGAACTGTCTTGGGGTTCTCCCTCCCCGTTTCTTGCCATCCTCCACTCCACTGTGTGTATTAATACTCTCTCTATATATTCCTCATCCTTCTTCCAATTTGAATATCTAGGGGGTGCTCTATATAACTGCAGCTCAGTGCTGGTTAACCTATCTGTGCCATCGCAAGATATTTATAATAAGAACTACAGCCCTGGCCAAAAGTTTTGAGGATGACACAAATATTAATGTTCACAAAGTCTGCGGCTTCAGTGTTTTTTAGATATTTTTGTTAGATGTTAGTATGGTATACTGAAGTATAATTACAAGCATTTCATAAGTGTCAAAGGCCACAATTACATTAAGTTTATGCAAAGAGTCAATATTTGCAGTGTAGACCCTTTTTTTTCAGTACCTCTACAATTCGCCCTGGTATGCTGTCAATTAACTTCTGAGCCACATCCTGACTGATGGCAACCTATTCTTGCATAATCAATGCTTGGAGTTTGTCAGAATATGTGGGGTTTTTTTTTGTTAACCCACCATTGACCGCAAGTTCTCAATGGGATTAAGGTCTGGGGCCATGGACACAAAAGTTTTATTCCCCAAGCCACTTAGGAAAAGGCATTGTTCATCACCAAAATTTTCCTTGGATGGTTGGGAAAAGTTGCTCTCGAAGGATCTTTTTGTACCATTCTTTATTCATGGTAGTGTTCTTAGGCAAAATTGTGAGTGAGCCCACTCCTTTAGCTGAGGAGCAACCCCACATATGAATAGACTCAGGATGCTTTACTGTTGGAATAACACAGGACTGATGGCAGTGCTCACCTTTTCTTCTCTAGACAAGGTTTTTTCCAGATGCCCCAAACAATTGGAAAGGGGATTCATCAGAGAAAATGACTTTACCCCAGTCCTCAGCAGTCCAATCCCTGTACCTTTTGCAGAATATCAGTCTGTCCCTGATGTTTTTCTGGGAGAGAAGCGGCTTCTTTGTTGCCCTTCTTGACACCAGGCCATCCTCGAAAAGTCTTCACCTTACTGTGCGTGCAGATACACTCACACATGCCTGCTGCCCGTTTATGGCAAAACTGCTCTCTTCACCATAAACAAGTACATTATGAATATTTAAGACCTTTCCCAATCTAATCAGGCAGACTTGCACTTTGCAATACTGGTTGATTTGCAAATAACCTATTTTTAAACTCTCCCTGACTCTCCACATATTTACCCAAAAACAGGTTAATCCAACATAAGAAAGGTAAGGTACTTACCTTGTGCATAAATTAACATAACAAGGAGTTCTTGGCTATCCTTTTGGTGTGTAAAATACATCTAGCCCAGTCCTATGCTGGCCTGTTCAATAACGTGAGAATACACCATATACAGTATATATATATATATATATATATATATATATATATATATAATATATACATACACACACACACATATATATATATATATATATAATATATATATATATATATATATACACAGTGGGGGCAAAAAAGTATTTAGTCAGCCACCAATTGTGCAAGTTCTCCCACTTAAAAAGATGAGAGAGGCCTGTAATTGGCATCATAGGTAGACCTCAACTATGAAAGACAAAATCAGAAAACATATCCAGACAACCACATTGGCGGATTTAGAAATAATTTATTTGCAAATTATGGTGGAAAATAATTCTTCACTAGGCCCGCATACCTGGCCTCAAGTAGCGGCGGCAGCCCTTGCAAATGCTTCAGGAGATCCACTGAGATGGAAGAGATGGACGTAAACCCCCCCTGCAGCTTCACACCCCTCGCCAGCAACCCCTACTCTGATGGTGGACACCTTGGAAGACAAACTGCAAGTATTTTTATGTAACATTACCACCACCATCTCTGCTGAAGTTGGGAAATTGGCTCAGGAGCTTAGAGGGGAGATTACTCAAATAGGAGACTGCACAGACCACCTTGAGACTAAATTTGATGAACAGGTACACTATGTCCATGTTCTGGAGGAAGATAATGCCAGTCTGAAACACTCAATTACAGCTTCAACAGAAAGATTTGGAAAACAGGGAGCATCATCAGAATATTGGTCTCTGACCTCCAACTCCAAAGCCATGTGCTGTCTCTATTCACCACTCTAGCTCCTAAGGTCCCAGAGGTTGGTTGGCAAATGATTCGGGCCCATAGGTTGTTAGGTCCAAAACCCTCTGAGGGCACCAAGCCTAGACATGTAATCATACACTTTCACTACTTTGACAGTAAAGAAGCCCTCTCTAAAATAATAGTGCAGCGCTAACAATGCATGTCACAATTTCATAAACGCATGTGAATTGAGCTCCATAAATGCATGTGAATAAAGTGCAAAAAGTGCAATATCAATATAAATAATTCAAAATGATGTAAAAAGCAATTAAAAGGAGTTTATAGACTTATTGATGAATATTAAAACATCTTTTGTGCAAAGGCACATGAATTTATCCGTGAAGGACAATGGTGCAAGAACTTGTGAAAGGAAATCTACCCTTGGGACGGATGTACACTCACCAGACCATAAATAATAATGCGCATGGGTTATACTACATCGCACATCTGGGGGTGCAGCAGCGGTATGCTGGTAGCTACAGGGTCATCCATCCATCAGGGTGGGTGCCTGGTGGTCCTGGGGAGGAGTCAGCTCAGCCACAGGAGCCAGAAAGGTGCTTATAGTGTAGTATTTTATTATATTAATGATAGCAAGTAACATAAAAGTAGCCATGTGGAGTAACAAAAATCAATAAAATAGAGTACCAAGATGGCCGTTGCTCCTCTGCAGCGGCGGCTAAACGTCAGCAATAGGGCTCCACCCAACGAGTTTCGTAAAATAACACGTCCTCAGGGACACACCCATTGCTGACATCTCATTTACATCCCCTGGGATAGACTCCTTATTGGCAAGGGCAGGTGAATATATTGATGTATTCCTACAGCCACTTGTACAAGCCACTCCCTAATACCTGAAAGATATGAAGCAGGTCCTTATGGATATAAAAATTATTAATATAACTTCTAACACCTACCTAGTTACAACGGACGTAGAATCCTTATATACCAACATTAACCATAATGATGGAATGGAGGCTGTTAAATATTTTTTACACAATGCATCTGACTACAATAATGCTCACAAACCATTTATTTTAAACTTACTGGACTTTGCAATGACGCACAATTATTTCTGGTTTAGTCAACAACATTATTTGCAAATTAGAGGGGTAGCTATGGGAGCCAAATTTGCCCCTAGTCTAGCAAATCTATTTAAGGTTCGGTGGGAAGAGGATATCATCTATGCCAGAGAATGGCCGAAATTAATCTCTTACAGAAGATATATAGACAATATCTTATTCATCTGGCAAGGAGAAGAAATTCCACTAAATAATTTTATTAATACACTCAACTTTAATTCTCTAAATATTAAACTCACCCACACGTATAGCCAAAATAAGATTGATTTTCTGGATCTGACACTGATTAACGATTAATGAAAATCATATCTAAGACGTTTTTTAAGAAAACAGACAGGAATAGTTTCATCCCGACAGACAGCTGCTACCATCCATCCTGGCTGAATAATATCCCCAAAGGACAATTTACAAGAATCCGTAGAAATTGTGACAACATGCCCGATTTAGATCTTCAATCAAATATTCTAAAAGATAGATTTCTGGAAAAAGGATACTTGAACGATTCTTTAAACAAAACTATCAAGTCGGTGGCAGAGTTTGACAGAAATGCCTTGATTACGAATAACACCAATAAAACTGAAATTCAGATGGTGTGTCCATTTATAACCAATTATTCCATCCAGCATTATCAAGTCAGACATATCTTTGACAAACACTGGAATATTTTAGCTAATGACCCAGTTTTAACCACTAACCTACAGGGTGCTTTTACCCCCTTCCTGCCCAGGCCAATTTCCAGCTTTCAGCGCTGTTGCAGTTTGAATGACAATTGCGTGGTCATGCAACACTGTACCCATATGAAAATTGCATCATTTTTTCGTGACAGATAGAGCTTTATTTTGGTGGTATTTAATTACCTCTGGGTTTTTTATTTTTTCTTAAACAAACCAAAAACCACTTTTCAACCAAATGTTGAAAAAAAAGTTTTTTCTTAGTTTTTGTTATAAAAGTTTGTAAATAAGTAATTTTTCTCCTTCACTGATGTGCGCTAATGAGGCTGCAGTGATGGGCACTGATAGGCTGCACTGATGGACACTGGTGGCACTGATGGGCACTGATGAGGAGGCACTGGTAGGTGGCACTGATGGGCATTGACAGGCATCACTGATGGGCACTGAAAGGCAGCACTCATATATGGCACCGATAAGCGGCACTGAAAGGCGGCACTGACTGACACTGATAGGCGGCACTGATAGGCGCACTGATGCACACGGATAGGCAGCACTGACTGGCACTGATAGGCGGCACTGCCTGGCACTGATAGGTGGCACTGATTGGCAGCACTGATAGGTGGCACTAACTGGCATTGAGAAGTGGCACTGACTGGCACTGATAGGTGACACTGAAAGGCAGCTCAGATGGGCACTGATGTGTGACATTGATGTGGCACTGATGGGCACTGAAATGTGGCACTGATGGGCACTCGCAGGTGGCAAGGATGAGGACTGAGAGCTGGCACTGATGGACACTGACCATTGGCACTGCTGGGGGTAAACACAGATCATCAGGGCACACTGATCATCAGTGCTCTGATGATCTGTGTACATGTCCCCTCCGAGGAATGCCTATTACTGGCTCTCCTCTCCTCACGAGCTGTCAGCGTGACAGCTCGTGGGGAGAGAAATGCTGATAACCGACATTTCCCTGTTTACATGTGATCAGCTGTGATTGGACACAGCTGACACATGACCAAGCTGACATCTTCGGCTCTTTCCATGGATTGGTGATCCACTGTGTCCGAGAGACACAGTGCACCGCCGATCGCCGCGCTGCGGGAGCCGCGGATGCGCAGTTAGAATGGGAGGATGTTATATGATGTCCTCCCAGAACGAGAGAACCACCTTGCATCCGTCATATTACTATATGGCGGGCGGGAGGCTGTTAAAGAGAATTTTACAATCAAAACTAGAAATAGTTTTTAGAAGAGCACCCAATGTCAGAGATAAAATAGCCCCAAATATTATCAACCCACTTAACCAGATTAAACTGTTTGGGAACCTCAAAGGATTTTACCCATGCAGCAAGTGCCCATCTGTGTCTTAAGCAGAAACAAACTACCGAAAATCACATCCTTTACTTCGAATGTTACCAATAAGAGTTACCAAATTGCCATGTTTATCACATGCAATAGTAAATATGTAGTATATCTTCTCGAGTGCTCCTGTAATAAACAATATATTGGAAGAACCACAAGAAAAATGAGATATAGAATGAGAGAACATGTTTACAATATCAAAAAAGGGTACAAAGAACAATTCATTGTCCAAACATTATAGGGATGTGCACCACAGAGATCCACACAATTTGAAATTTGTGGGTATAGACATTCTTAGCCCACACTGGAGAGGGTGTAACTGTCATGGAAACTTTCTATTTACAGGTTGAATTAAATGTGTCATATATTAGTGTTATCCATATGTCTCTCGTGTGGCTTAATTAAAGCTCTGAAGGCTGCAATTAGGCCATGTGCATGTACAATGTATATATTGCAGTACTCAGCTCGGTAATGGATGAGATGGCAGATCTGCGCTTACAGACCGGCGTGTATACCACCACGGCATTCGATACGAATGCTGCCGGCGGTAGGTCGCAGGCCTGTATCCACATATCAGCAGCATAGTACCACATGGACTTCGTATAGCCAGGCGCCGGGCAGTGCGAACTCCACGTGTAGGCTCATGTATATCTTACAAACCACTACCGACCTGAACTGTATCTGGATGGATGTGTTTTAATAAAGATCGTATTGGGCCCATTCAGATACAGACTGACACTGTTTAATCTAAGGGATGCTTGTACAGGGAATGGACATACTAGTAGGAGCTGATAGCATGGAAATGGGAAAGGGGGAGGGGAGAACTGGTTTCCAGTATAGATAAAAGGAAAGGCTACGCTCCAATCAGGATGTACATTCTGTGTATAGACACCCCCTATACATTGCTCTGTGGGAGGGGATTGACCTGACCCCCCCCTGCGTGGGGTGTGTGTGTGTGTGTGTGCTTGTAATAAAACAGGAGGCTGGGATTGGAGCCAGGCTCAGAGTGAATTCCAACTGCAACCTGAGAGTGTCGTGTGATCATTCCTGGGTAACGGGAGCTCCATTTTCCCACATCTCAACAACAGAGCTAAACCAGTTGGAGGCGCAGGAATCGTGGAGTTTAGCTGCAGTCGCGGTAAGCGAAGTACGCACAGCTTTATGGGGGATTTCTGCGCATCCAACTGCGAGTACTCACGGTAAGGAGAAATTCATTAAAAGCGAATTGCCAAGACAATTTGGCGAGCCAGTGGATTCTAACGCAAATTCTACGATAGCTAACCAAGTACGAGGGGGGAATGAGCTATCATGAACTAGCAAAAAGTATGCCGGCACATTTCAGGTCTCTCTACCGTTAAGAGAATCGCTTTTTGCGCGTTCGTGTGGCTAATTTCGCTCTCTGTTAGCCAACGTGAATTCCGCTTAGCAAGGACCTAGTTGTCCTAAAATTTTGATTTGTGGGTGAAAGACAAGGGTTTTTCTCTGCAAAAAAACAGCAGAGAGGTGGGGTTTGGTTGGCTGGATTTGGTCAAGTTTAAAAATCTTTCAACCAAAAATTAAACGGTATATCTTTTAGCGGGTAAAGGTTTTTGCATAGTTTAGGTAAGTATTTGCGGGTTGTAGGTACTGTGGTACTTGCTTTACCTCCCTCCACGTGAGGTAATTATTACAGTGCTAAAAGGTTTAGATTAATCGTTAACTGTTGTAAGACCTTTGTGTGCATATAGTCTGTGCAGTGTTTTGTCGGTACTACTGCCCCAGCAAGCATGCATCAGTGGGTCTTTTCTGTTACATGCGCATGTTAGTATGATATGTTGGTTTTTCTATGTCTGTTCTGTGATTGTGCCAAATTGTGTTGTATGTGTACTGTATATTGTTGTGTAATTGTCCAGTGTATGTTTTGTCCAAAAGTCTGTTTTATGTAAGAGGTTAGAGGCAATTTTGAGGCTAGTGTCTGCCATGTGCTTTCTCTGGTGGTGGCCATTTTGTTGACTACCACATATGCTTTCTCTGGTGGTGGCCATTTTATTGACTGCCATGTGCTTTCTCTGGTGGTGGCCATTTTGTTGACTACCACATGTGCTTTCTCTGGTGGTGGCCATTTTGTTGACTACCACATGTGCAGTAATCTCTGTGCAATGTATATGCAGTTTTCTATATGCATTTGACCACATTGTGTTTTTAATCCAAATTTGTACAGTTAAATTGTTTGCTTTTAGCTTTAAATTTGTGTATTGCCAGCCAATTTAAAGTGTGTTAAGCGAGTTTTTCCCTCACGTGTTCCACATTTAGTGAGCGCGGTGAAGTTTGGGTTTTTGCACATAGATTTTTTTGTACAGTGATTGTGTTTTTCTTGTTAAAAGTAGTTCCTTATTGTAAAGTGGGTTTGTTTTTTTAGGCGGTTGCAGCGAAGATCACGTGTGTAGCGCGGATCGTTTAGCGGCGCTGGTAGGAGCAATTTTCGCGCCTGCAACAGGGGTTATTTTTTGCGCAGTTTTTCGGTTTACCTCTGTGTAACTGTTTTTACTGCAAAACATCCCGTGTTTTCCATAAGGCTCCACTTTGTCCTTTTTTAACAGTTTTTTCAAGTTGAAAAGGGGTTTTTCTGTGTGTATTAGGAAAGTTTTTTTTCTTTACACAATTTTCCTAAAGGTCAGTTAGCAGGTTTCTGGGCAACCAGTGACCCCTAAGTGACAAGCAAAGAACCCCTCCTTTTGTTTTGACTTGTGTTAGGTACTGTGTGCAGGGAGAGAAAAGCCACTTTCATCATTGTGCGGTGTGGCCTGCCAAACACAGTGGGTGATGAGAACCACATAAATTATGCTGTGCGAGTGGGCGGTCCAGTGAAGTGTACCGCTTAGCCTGGTTACCACAAACACTTCGGGTGGTCAGGATCACATATATTGCGCTGTGGGAGTGGGAGGTGTGCTCTCAGTTGACCGCCACTTGATGCGCTTCGGGTGATCGATAAGAATCACATAAATTACGCTGTTCTGGGAAAGTGGTGGAATCAGGCCTCTCGGTAGGATCCCACCGAGTGCTCCAGGGGGTAAAACAGGTACCCGGATGTGGGATATATACCAGTGACTAGTCACGATGGGCAGTAGTCAGTCCATGAAGAGAGAGGGGGAACCAGCCCTCTTCAGGGTGAGGACAGCTGCACAACTGATGAAGGTGAGTTTGGGGGGGAAGTCTACAGAACCCCTCAAAAGATGGAATAAATGGTCCAAGGGTACCAGATGGGAAATTCCCCGGGAAGGTACATTTGACACACATGGAGGTGGGAAAAATTCATCTCTGAATTTGAACCACGGATGCAGGCGTCAGAACTAGAAATCGCACAGCTATGGCTTCACAGGTCAATCTAATTAGGGAAGCAGGGCATACATAAACTGGTGTCTGTCCGGAAGAACCAGGTGATGTATACCTGGCCTCCAGAGGGAATAAAACAAGAGGATCTGGTGTCAGAGGTGGAGAAAGCTCTTTCAGGGCTGACTCTACTAAGGCAGGCAGGATCAGGGTCTGCTGGGGTTCCCGAACAACCAACAGTGGCTGAGATAAGTATAACTGCACCTGTCTCTTCTGCTAGTGACGTCACTCTTGACGTACCTTCCATGTCTTCTATATCTATGCCTCAGCCTCTACCTCTACCTCTCCCTTCTTCCTGCTTCACCCCAGCTCCTTCTGTTTCCAACTACGAAGTCTTCTCAACAGCCGATTTGCAGACTATCTGCGAATCAAGGGGAATAGATACCCGGTTAAGAAACAGGGCGGATTGCATCAAAGCGCTACAAGCCACTGATCAGACCCCTGCCCCCCATCTATACCCTGATCTGAGGGAACTCAAACCTGAAGGTGCAGTAAGCGAGGTGGTTAATCTAAGTCCACCGATGAAGCTGGGCCAGCCCTTGCACTCTTCCCGGACCAAGGCCTATCCAGTCAGGGTGCAGCAATTTGAAGGTCCTCCCAATGCACAAGGGGAGTGGTCCTTAGGGGAACGGGTAGTTTGGCATGTCCCCTTCACCCCGGCAGAGATCCGCACTATTCTGGCTGAGCTCCCGGACTATCGAGTCAATCTGAGAGGATTTGCTCGATGTTTGGACAAAACCAGTTCAGCTATGGTATGAGCGGTTTGGATTGTGCGCAGATCCTGCGGGCAAAGGTGGGCATGGAAGTGGCCAGTGCAGTGATTGCAGGGTGCTCTATAACCACTCATGAGGAGATGACTTCAGGGGGCAAAGAGTTTTGTGCACAGCTAAAGGCAAAGCTTCCAGAAATGTATGGTGCTACCTCTACTATGGACATGATGAAGCTCACTCAGGGTCCTAATGAGGAAAGCGCCTGCTTCTGGCACCGTCTCAAGCAGACGGCACTGGATGCGGATCTGGAAGTTGGACCTGATGATCCAACTGAAGGGGTAAAGGTGACCGCGACGCACATTCTGTTGCGGGCCAAATTTTTGGAAGGCATCGATACTAAAATTCGGGAAAGGCTGGTTCTGGCCCGACCCGAATATAATGAGATGTCCCTGCTATCCTTTCCACTCTTGCGGCAATAGAGAGGGAAATGGATAGGAGAAAACAGGACAAGGCCAAAGTTCTTATGTCCCAGACCCCACATGAAAAACCAAGGAATCTGGGTCACAGGAAGGATAGGCCCCCCCCCAGGTGTTTTCAGTGCCACCAAACGGGGCACATGAGGAGGAGCTGTCCCCAAGTACCTAAAGGTCGGTGGCAGTTCATTCCTGATGAGTCCTCCGCCCCTGTCACCACCATGGTAAGTAACTCCTATGAATCCTCATAGGAAGTTGGCAAATCGGTGTCGGCCCAGGTCCATCTTTTTTCTAGAGGAATTAAAATATCCCCTCCCTTGCCTCACCGACACCAGTGCAGCAAGAACGGTCTTGCGAAAACAGGACATCCAAGGCAAGGTACCCCTCTCAGGGGAAAGCCCTCCTAACCCCTACTAACCTCACTATCAAACAATGCACTATTCTTAACCCAGCTTCTCTTCTTCCTGTGTTGGAAGACAAGAAGGGGGGAGGACAGCAATGACAGTGCTGAATCTTGCAACCCGACTAACATTACTAACACCTCTTCTGCTAACATGTCTTCTTTTTCCACGACTAACCTCTCTTCCAAAGGACACGACTGCATTTCTCTGATGGAACTGGAGTCAGCGGCGATCAGCCCGGTGAAGGAAACGCCACTACCGGAAGCGAAAAATCTTTTTGTCGATGGGTCCAGGTACTACACCCAAGACGGTAAGCCACACACTGGTTGCTCTTTGAACGCACATATGTCAGCTCAGGAAGCTGAGCTGTGGGCACTGGCCAGGGCATATGAGTTACATGACGTGTGCCAACGCTAGTACCACGGTGAAGAAAATCCTGTCTGAGGTTGTGTGCCGCTGGGGTCTACCTGAAACCATTGAGTCCGATAGGGGGTCACACTTCACTGGACAGATCTTTGCAGAGGTATGTAAAGCCCTTCACATCAACCAAGGGCTACACACCCCGTATCACCCCGAGAGTAGCGGTAAGGTTGAACGTCTCAACGGAATCCTTAAAAACAGGATCTCCAAAATCATGGCAGATACCCAAAAACCTTGGCCTGAGTGTCTCCCCATTGCCCTCTATTCCATCCGGAGTGCCCCTCGGCAACCACATGGGCTGTCACCCTACAAGGTGTTGTTTGGGGGACCTCCCAAAACAGGGTTGTACTTTCCTCAACAGTTGTCGTCTTTGCATTCACAGCTTACAGGTTACATGCAATCTCTGCAACGGGAGCTGCAGAAGATACACCATCGGGTTCGCAAATCGCTCCCCGATCCAAATGCAATAATAGGTGTTGTCAGAGATGCAGGTGTGACCAGAAGTGTGTGGACTGACACAGGGAAACGCAAGCTTCAGATATGGTATAAAAATAAGACGCTTTATTAAAGACTAACAATACAAACATAAACGCAGTGCACCAAACCCCAAGCTAACACAAATACATACAACAAGGTGAAACAAACCCAAACCTAAACTGATACAGATACCCAGGTACATACACATGTAGAGCACAACGTAGTTAGGCAGGCCGGGTCGATAACTATCGGGCAGGTAGGTACAGGAAGAGCAGGCGGAGAGAATGGTCAGGGTCACAAGCCAGGGATCAAAACAGGAGAAGTCAGCAGAGGTCAGGATCAGGCAGGGTCGGCAACAAGTCAGGCAGGAACAGGAACAGGAATGCAGGTTACAAGATACAGGGGCCCATGGAAAAACACACACCAAGGCCCAGACTGCAGGTCTGGCCATCCCTTAAATACACCTGCAATCAGCTCCAGGTGATGGCTAATTACCGAAGTGAACCTCTGGTTGTTGAGAGCACCCACTGGCCAGCCCTGGTACTGCAGCCCACAAGGCAGGTGAGTCCCACCACTATTGGCAAGTCCATTCCTGACAGTACCCCCCCCTCAAGGAGCGGCCTCAGGACGCTCCAAAGAGTCCTAGCTGGGCAAAATGTTCCACCGCCCAGGTCCGGTGACTGGCGGGATATCAAAGACTGGCACATCGGGCTGGGCGCCGGACGGAGGCACGTCGGGCTGGGCGCCGGACGGAGGCACGTCGGGCTGGGCGCCGGACGGAGGCACGTCGGGCTGGGCGCCGGACGGAGGCACGTCGGGCTGGGCGCCGGACGGAGGCACGTCGGGCTGGGCGCCGGACGGAGGCACGTCGGGCTGGGCGCCGGACGGAGGCACGTCGGGCTGGACGCCGGATCACCAGGCGGAACAGCAGGCACCGGGCCACCAGGCGGAGCAGCGGGCACCGGGCCCCCAGGCAGGACGGCGGGCACCGGGCCACCAGGCGGAGCGGCAGGCACCGGGGCAACCAGGCGGAGCGGCAGGCACCGGGCCCCCAGGCGGAGCGGCGGGCACCGGGTCCCCAGGCAGGGTGGCGGGCACCGGGCCACCAGGCAGATCAGCAGGCACCGGGCCCCCAGGCAGGGCAGTGGGCACCGGGCCACCAGGCGATGCAGCAGGCACCGGGCCCCAGGTGGAGCGGCGGGCACCGGGCAACCAGGCAGGGTGGCAGGCACCGGGCCATCTGGCTCGACAGTGGGCATCGGGTTACCAGGTATGACAGCGGGCACTGGGTCATCAGGCATTGGATCATCTGGCAAGACTGCAGGCACCGAGTCGTCTGGCAAGACCGCGGGCTCCGAGTCGTCTGGCAAGACCGCGGGCTCCGAGTCGTCTGGCAAGACCGCGGGCTCCGAGTCGTCTGGCAAGACCGCGGGCTCCGAGTCGTCTGGCAAGACCGCGGGCTCCGAGTCGTCTGGCAAGACCGCGGGCTCCGAGTCGTCTGGCAAGACCGCGGGCTCCGAGTCATCTGGAAAGACTGCGGGCACTGAGTCATCTGGCAAGACTGCGGGCACCGAGTCGTCTGGCAAGACCGCGGGCACCGAGTCAACTGGCGGAACAGCGGGCATCGAGTCGTCTGGCAAGACTGCGGGCTCCGAGTCAACTGGCGGAACAGCGGGCATCGAGTCGTCTGGCAAGACTGCGGGCTCCGAGTCGTCTGGCAAGACCGCGGGCTCCGAGTCGCCTGGCAAGACTGCGGGCACTGAGTCGTCTGGCAAGACTGCGGGCACCGAGTCGTCTGGCAAGACTGCGGGCACCGAGTCGTCTGGCAAGACTGCGGGCACCGAGTCGTCTGGCAAGACTGCGGGCACCGAGTCGTCTGGCAAGACCGCGGGCACCGAGTCAACTGGCGGAACAGCGGGCATCGAGTCGTCTGGCAAGACTGCGGGCACCGAGTCGTCTGGCAAGACTGCGGGCACCGAGTCGTCTGGCAAGACTGCGGGCACCGAGTCGTCTGGCAAGACTGCGGGCACCGAGTCGTCTGGCAAGACTGCGGGCACCGAGTCGTCTGGCAAGACTGCGGGCACCGAGTCGTCTGGCAAGACTGCGGGCACCGAGTCGTCTGGCAAGACCGCGGGCACCGAGTCAACTGGCGGAACAGCGGGCATCGAGTCGTCTGGCAAGACTGCGGGCACCGAGTCGTCTGGCAAGACTGCGGGCACCGAGTCCACTGACGGAACAACGGGCACCGAGTCGTCGCGTGGAACAGCGGGCATCGAGTCGTCTGGCATAATAGGATCATCAGGCTGGATCAGTTCATCAGGCTGGGTAGAGACATCATGCTGGGTAAGGACATACTGCTGGGTAAGGACATCCTGCTGGGTAAGGACATCAGGCTGGGTAGAGACATCAGGCTGAATTGTGGGTGCCGAGGCACCAGGCTGCACCACGGAAGGCAGGTTCTTAGATGGGAGGCTGACCGGTTTTGATACTGGCAGGATGGTATTGGTTGGAAAGAACTTTCGCCTTTTCCTGGTTATAGTTACCGGAGCACTGTAAGTAAGCGCAGGTTTGTAAACGGATGGAGCAGCTGGAGACAGAGAAGAGCTGGAGGATGGAACAGAGGAGTGAGCAATTGCTACAGAGGACTTCTTTACAGGGTTGAAGAAAGGATACGTGCAGCGAGTGGGAGCAGGGGACTAGTATGTGGTAGTTAGCAGAGTATACTGGGCCATCACTGGGGGTGCTGTCGGGGATGCAGGAAGAGTGCCTTGAGCAGAGGAATGATGTTGCAAGCCAACTGAGGCTGGGTGTAACAAATCTGTCCATGTCTGCAGTACTGGTTTAACAAAACTCAGCTTACACCTAGCCTGTCTGATCAAAGACTGCACTGCGTTTATGCAATCCATAAGCACATGTGATGGACATGCTGCATAGTGCTCATGGAAACAATCTGGATCATCCTCCAACAACCATACCAGTGATTCCACTTGATCCACACTAAATGGGGGAAAAAAAGTCATCCCTCCTTTCAGGGGTACAGGACCGAGCCAACTCAGCACAAACCTGGATCAATGGCTGCACCTCAGAAAACTCTGTGCCCTGATCAACTAGACAATGAGCGATCCTTATACACTCTAGCAGTTGATCCCAGGTATACTCCTTAAGAGTCTGATAAGCATAGTCTTTGTCATCAAACACTAGCAAAGATAAATACACCACCTCATCAAGATCCATCCTTCCCAGCAACAATGAGCCAAGATGGCCTCCCTGTGCAGCCACTTCTGGTCAGGTTTTTGGCCTTGGTGTAATGTCAGAGATGCAGGTGTGTGACCAGAAGTGTGTGGACTGACACAGGGAAACGCAAGCTTCAGATATGGTATAAATAAGACGCTTTATTAAAGACTAACAATACAAACATAAATGCAGTGCACCAAACCCCAAGCTAACACAAATACATACAACAAGGTGAAACAAACCCAAACCTAAACTGATACAGATACCCAGGTACATACACATGTAGAGCACAACGTAGTTAGGCAGGCCGGGTCGATAACTATCGGGCAGGTAGGTACAGGAGGAGCAGGCGGAGAGAATGGTCAGGGTCACAAGCCAGGGATCAAAACAGGAGAAGTCAGCAGAGGTCAGGATCGGCAACAAGTCAGGCAGGAACAGGAACAGGAATGCAGGTTACAAGATACAGGGGCCCATGGAAAAACACACACCAAGGCCCAGACTGCAGGTCTGGCCATCCCTTAAATACACCTGCAATCAGCCCCAGGTGATGGCTAATTGCCGAAGTGAACCTCTAGTTGTTGAGAGCACCCGCTGGCCAGCCCTGGTACTGCAGCCCACAAGGCAGGTGAGTCCCACCACTATTGGCAAGTCCATTCCTGACAGGTGTTCTTTCTATTGAGACAGGTGATTGGGTCATCCTAAAGAAACATCAAAGAACCGGACTCGAGCCACGATTTACCGGACCATACCAAGTCCAGCTGATGACACCTACCTCACTCAAGCTCAAGGGACGAGACAACTGGGTGCACGCAAGCCACTGCAAGAAGCTTTTCAGCTACACCAGAGAATGAGGGGTGTCATTTTCCTTTTTCTTTTTGTTTGTATGTTTTACATGTGTGTGAACGGAGGAAAAAAACGGCAGATACCCCAACCTTTTATTTAAAATGCATCTGCGACTAGCCAGATATGCTCTAAGCCCCCACCCAGTCATCACATGTCCGCAATGGCCACTGTTCATGCCCTATATGACATCCGTGTCGGCATGAAAAAGCAAGGGACCCCTGGCCAGCCCCCACGTAGACATTTGTCTGTAGAACTTAATGACACATTTTTAGCAGGTAACATCAGTTTTAGCACCAATATTAGCTCTAGCTCCTGTAGGGCACTCGTCAGTCCATTATGGGTAACTGGGCAGTTAGGCAGCCCTCCGGTGTGCTTTAACATCAGCTTTGGCTCAGGTAACAAGTTTGTTGGGACTACCACCTGTGAGGGAGGTATAAATGTCAATCTGACTAACCAGGCTTCCCTTCTGAGTAACCACACTGACCGAGCAGACCACGTTTGTTGGAAGGACGGATGTGATGTGCAGACTGATGGAGCAATCCCCCAGTCTGTACAACTGTTGCTCAGTGCCAGAGGCCGAACAAAGAACTCCTCCTGCTCTGCACTGACAGGTCCGTACTATTTTCTGTGTGGTTCGGCAGCCTATAGAACATTTCCCCAGAACGCGAAAGGTTAGTGTGCCCTCATAAAGCTAGTCCCCGCATCCTATGTAGTGATGGATCATGAAGAGTTGATGGTCCACAAGAAGGTAAGGATGGCAGGGAGAGTTCTCAGGGAGCTGTTCTCTGAGGGCAACCAGGCATGGGCTTGGTTCCCCTCATGGACAGGTTGGGGAATAGAACTTATGAAGCGCCTGAACAATTTTTCTGTCATCGTGGATAGTATGTTTAATGAGACCGTAGAGGCTGTCAGAGAAATTGCTCAAGAACAACGGCAGATGGGAATTCTGCCGTGTAAGCCAAGCTCGGGCAGATGACCACATCTCCATGCCCGCTCCTGGGATCCTACTCCAACCACTGATCGGAGGAAGACCTCACCAACCAGCCACCTTCTCTGCAGGTTATGTCCTGGCTTCCCTCTGATTCATCTCCCTGAAGACCAAGTTCCCCAAGACCTTCAAGCAAGCTTCAAGCCTCATCGTTGTTTGTGTATAAAGCTGCAAGATTTGTTTGTTCCACTTTTTGGAAAACCGTCTGGGTCGAGACCAGCCTCGTGTGGCCCCGTTTGCAGGGGCAATTTGAGAATCGGCTGCTGGCTCTCCGTGGGATCACAAGCCTTGTTTATACCACAAGTCCGGTTCCATTTGCCAGACCAGTTTGAAAAAGTTCCGTTCGTGGTTTCTGCAAGAGCCTTCCTGTAGTGAAGGCTCCAACGCTCTTGAGGATCATTGCTTCAATCAAGCCTGTTTGCGTCGAGTCTGCGTCGTGTCTTGTTGTTTCAGGTACCCCGTGGAGCTTTATTCTCAGGGACAACTACAGGAACTCTGGTCTAAGACCAACTTTTTGAGGTTTTGAGATGACACCCATCAAGCTGAAGAAGATCAAGAAGGGACACGAGGAGAATATGATAAAAAACAGGAGGGAATGTCATGGAAACTTTCTATTTACAGGTTGAACTTTAAATGTGTCATATATTAGTGTTATCCATATGTCTCTCGTGTGGCTTAATTAAAGCTCTGAAGGCTGCAATTAGGCCATGCGCATGTACAATGTATATATTACAGTACTCAGCTCGGTAATGGATGAGATGGCAGATCTGCGCTTATAGACCGGTGTGTATACCACCACGGCATTCGATGCGAAAATGCCGCCGGCGGTAGGTCGCGGGCCTGTATCCACATATCAGCAGCATAGTACCACATGGACTTCGTGTAGCCAGGCGCCAGGCAGTGCGAACGTGTAGGGCCCATATAGTGAATGGGCCCAATATGATCTTATTAAAACACATCCATCCAGATACAGTTCAGGTCGGTAGCGGTTTGTAAGATATATCTTACAAACCGCTACCGACCTGAACTGTATCTGGATGGATGTGTTTTAATAAAGATCATATTGGGCCCATTCAGATACAGACTGACACTGTTTAATCTAAGGGATGCTTGTACAGGGAATGGACAAACTAGTAGGAGCTGATAGCATGGAAATGATGGGAAAGGGGGGGGAGAAACTGGTTTCCAGTATAGATAAAAGGAAAGGCTACGCTCCAATCAGGATGTACATTCTGTGTATAGACACCCCCTATACATTGTTCTGTGGGAGGGGATTGACCTGACCCCCCCCCCCCCTGCGTGGGGTGTGTGTGTGTGTGTGCTTGTAATAAAAACCGGAGGCTGGGATTGGAGCAGGCTCAGAGTGAATTCAAACTGCAACCTGAGAGTGTCGTGTGATCATTCCTGGGTAACGGGAGCTCCATTTTCCCCACATCTCAACAGAGATAAACCAGTTGGAGGCGCAGGAATTGTGGAGTTTAGCTGCAGTCGCAGTAAGCGAAGTTCGCACAGCTTTATGGGGGATTTCTGCGCATCCAACTGCGAGTACTCATGGTAAGGAGAAATTCGTTAAAATTTCCAAGACAGTAACAAACACAGGAAAATATCCCAATTAGAAACAAAGTGGATATACGAGATGAAGTCACTTGCACCTTTAGGCCACAACATTGAAATCGATATAAATTGCTTTATTGATAAAAGCTGAAATGAATATATTATTTATCATATCCATACCATTGAATGTAACTGTATGACCGAAATTTTTCACATAACAATATCATGTATCCTGATAGTCATCCACTCACTAGTGGACGAATAGAATGATTTGTGAACATACATATTATGATCCCAATATGGATATATTGTATTTTATGTATTTTATTCTGGGTTCATTTCCTTTTATACATATGTAACTTATATAGACTGAATTGTCTCCGTATATATATCGCAAGGCATGAATCCAAACCATTATTACTATTGTTATCATTTTTAATAATTTTATATTAATCTCATTAAGCTGTTAATGATACTTCAAGATCAGACATATCTTATAATTAGAGATGAGCGAATTATTCAAAAATTCGATTCGGCTGATTCGCCGAATTTGCGGGAGAAATTCGATTCGATGCAAATTTATTCGCCGCAAATATAACTTATATTTAAAGGGTTTTCTAGGCTTCAGAGAGCCTTTATATTAGTGCAGAACACTGTACCTTTCATTTAAATGCCCTTGGAGTCTGCTGGGAAGAGAAATAATACTGTCAGTCAGTATGACATGCAGATGAGTGCCGGAAGAAGAAGAAGAATGAAAAGAAGAATGAAAAGAAGAAGAAGAAGAATGAAAAGAAGAATGAAAAGAAGAAGAAGAAGAATGAAAAGAAGAATGAAAGAAGAAGAAGAAGAAGAATGAAAAGAAGAATGAAAAGAATGAAGAAGAAGAAGAAGAAGAATGAAGAAAAAGAAGAAGAAGAATGAAAAGAAGAAGAAGAAGAATGAAAAGAAAAAGAAGAAGAATGAAAAGAAGAAGAAGAAGAAGAAGAATGAAAAGAAGAAGAAGAATGAAAAGAAGAAAAGAATGAAAAGAAGAATGAAAAGAAAAATGAAGAAGAAGAAAAGAAAAGAAGAAAGAAAAAAGAAAAGAAGAAGAAGAATGAGAAGAATGAAAAGAAGAAAGAAGAAGAAGAATAAGAAGAAGAATGAAAGAAAAAGAAGAAGAAAGAAAAGAATGAAAAGAAAAAAGAAGAAGAATGAAAAGAAAAGAAGAAGAAAAAGAATGAAAAAAGAATTGAAAAGAAGAAGAAAAGAATGAAAAGAAGAAGAAGAAAAGAAAGAAGGAAAAGAAGAAAGGAAAAGAAAAGAAGAAGAAGAATGAAAAGAAGAATGAAAAGAAGAATGAAAAGAATGAAAAGAAAGAATGAAAAGAAGAATGAAAAGAAAAGAAGAATGATGAATGAAGAAGAAGAAGAAAGAATGAAAAAGAATTGAAAAGAAGAATGAAAAGAATGAAGAAAAAGAAGAAGAATGAAATGAATGAAAAAGAAATGAATGAAGAATGAAGAAAAAGAAGAAGAAGAAAAAAAAGAAGAAAAGAAAAGAAAGAAAAGAAGAAGAATGAAAAAAAGAAGAAGAAGAAAAAGAAGAAGAAAATGAAGAATGAATGAGAAGAAAGAAGAAAAGAAAATGAAAGAATGAAAAGAAGAAATGAAAAGAAGAATGAAAAGAAGAAAATGAAAAGAAGAAAAGAAGAAGAAGAATGAAAAGAAGAAGAAGAAGAATGAAAAAGAAGAAGAAGAAAAGAAAAGAAGAATGAAAAGAAGAAGAAGAAGAAAGAAGAAGAAGAAGAATGAAAAGAAGAAGAAAGAATGAAAAGAAAGAAGAAGAAAGAGATGAAAAGAATGAAAAGAAGAAGAAGAATGAGAAGAAGAATGAAAAGAAGAAGAAGATGAAAAGAAGAAGAAAGAATGAAAAGAAGAAGAAGAAAAGAAGAATGAAAAGAAGAAGAATTGAAGAAGAAGAATGAAAAGAAGAATGAAAAGAAGAATGAGAAATGAAAAGAAGAATGAGAATGAAAAGAAGAATGAGAAGAAAAGAAGAAGAAGAAGAAGAATGAAAAGAAGAATGAAGAAGAAGAAAATGAAATGAAGAATGAAGAAGAAGAAAGAAAAGAAGAATGAAAAGAAGAAGAATGAAAAAGAAGAAGAAGAATGAAAAGAAGAAGAATGAAAAGAAGAAGAAGAAGAATGAATGAAGAAGAAGAATGAAGAATGAAAAAGAAGAATGAAAAGAAGAAGAATGAAAAGAAGAATGAAAAGAAGAAGAAGAAGAATGAAAAGAAGAAGAAGAAGAAGAATGAAAAGAAGAAGAAGAATGAAAAGAAAAGAAGAAGAAGAAGAATGAAGAAGAAGAAGAATGAAGAAGAATGAAAAGAAGAAGAAGAATGAAAAGAAGAAGAAAAAGAAGAAGAATTCCAGTACAGCAAAAAGTGTATCTGCAGAGAGCTCCGCTATTTCTGACAGTTCTGACAGTTCATTTACAGCGGTTGAAACATTGTATCTATTTATTTCCGAATAAAAACATCTGTGTCCTAAATGGAAACAAATAAGATACAATGTTTCAACCGCTGTAAATGAACTGTCAGAACTGTCAGAGAACTGTCAGAAATAGCGGAGCTCTCTGCAGTGACACTTTTGCCGGCTGATCGGGGAAAATTTGATTCGTGCATCCGAAGTTGGCTAAAATTCGGATTCGATGCGAATCGAAATTTTTCCTAATATTCGAAACGAATTCCACTTCGCCAAGTTTGATTCGCTCATCTCTACTTATAATATATATATTATATCTATTTTTTTATATATGCATTTTTATATGCACTCTTTATATCTTTACAACATTTTGACACATTTTATATCAGGAATTTTATTTGAATTACCTCATAAGGTCTTACACATCTATTATATGCAAACTTCGTTTTTTCCCATTTTATACATTTTTATGTGGACTCCACATATTTATTCTGTTTATCTGGTCTATTTTTATATATATCTTGAAGTTTTATAAGTACAAAGAATATTATATGATCCTATTATTGTAATAATTCATCATATGCCAACATATTTATATCTCCGTCTAAGATTATAGGTCATTATTAGGTCAAATATGACATAGGTATTATCTATACGATACACTTTTAAAACCCCATTTTTTAAGAAAAATATCCAAGTTTTACTACTACACTTTTATTAGTCTCTATATGCCCTTTAATTCTATGCTTCTGTTTTCCCCCGTTCTTTAAATATATAACCTGCTCTGTATGAATGCGAACAGCTTTGTCCCGATTCTCATGTGTACTCTCATAACAGTACACCAACACCTCCAATAAAATGGCCGCTATCCAACCCGGCCCGGACTCCGGTAAGATGGCCGTGGTTGTCACATGAACGCTTGTCACCGGCAAAATGGCCGCGGTCACCTCATGGTATTTTGGCGCCTTGCGGGCTATATAAGGGGATGTGAATGAGATGTCAGCAATGGGTGTGCCCATGAGGATGTGTTATTACACAAAATGCATTGGGTGGAGCCCTATTGCTGATGTCTAGCCACAGCTGCAGAGGAGCAGTGGCCATCTTGGTACTCTATTTTTTTATGTTTCTTACTCCACGTGGCTACTTTTATGTTACTTGCTATCATTACTATAATAAAATACTACACAATAGGCACCTTTCTGGCTCCTGTGGCTGGGCTGATTCCTCCTCAGGACCACCAAGCACCCACCCTGATGGATGGATGACCCTGTAGCTGCCAGCATACCGCTGCACCCCCAGATGTGCGATGTAGTATAACCCATGCGCATTATTATTTATGGTCTGCTGAGTGTACATCCATCCCAAGTGTGGATTTCCTTTCACAAGTTCTTGCACCATTGTCCTTCACGGATAACTTCACATGCCAACCATAGGCAGGCACTACTTCAGCCGATATCTTTGCACAAAAGAAGTTTTAATATTCATAAATAAGTCTACAAACTCCTTTTATTGCTCTACATAATTTTGAATTATTTATATTGATATTGCACTTTTTTCTCTTTATTCACATGCATTTATGGAGTTCAATTCACATGCGTTTATAAAATTGTGACATGCATTGTTAGCGCTGCACTATTATTTTAGAGATTGCTATTCTGGGACTGTTACCTATACCCTGAGTGCTAGCTGCTATACTTTTACTCATATTGATATATATATATATATTTTTTTTTTATTTTTTTAATATTGTATAATTGCATTTAGCGCTCACTCTATTATCTTTTTGAGTAAAGAAGCCCTGCTCTCTTCTACTTGCAATAAGCCCTCTTTGGAATTCAAAGGAGACAGGCTCCAAATTTTCAGTGACTTATCTCTCATCACTCATCACAAAAGACTGGTCCTGAAGCCGGTCACTATTCATCTCCAACAGCATCAAGTTCCGTATCGGTAGGGATTTCCCTTCAAGCTCGCTGTTTCCGAGGATAATACCCAAGTTACACTCCGTGACCTACATGAAGCGGACTCCTTTTTCAAACAGCTGGGACTCCCTCCCTTACCAGAT